TTTAAAAAAACTGACCCTCAAATAGGGAAAATTGAAGTGGAAGAAAGAAAGAGACTGAACGAGGAACGGGAAGAGGAACAGGTTCAACCAAAGAGAAACAAAGGTTCAACCAAGGCTATGGTTGCTGCTTGGGGAGAAACTTCAGATGAAGACTCAGAAGATGAAGCTGAGGAGGAGCAAGCACTAATGGCCATTGGAGAATCAGATGATGAACAAGAGGTAAGTATTCTTCATCTCAAAGACAAGATTAAATTCTTGTCTATTGAAAGGCTGGCTGAGCTATTAACAGACTTCATTGATGAGTCTGAGATAATTAATAATGAGAAGGAAGTTCTGTCTAGGGAATGTGTGATTCTGAAAGCAAAATGCAAAAGTCTAGAGTCTAGGGCAAATGAGAGTGATAACAAAAATGCTGAGTTGAAGAACCAGGTTCTTGAACTTGACAACAGTGTCCTAGAATTTAGGTCTGAAAATGTGAAACTGAAATTAGGAACAGGAAAGAAGATAGCTGATCACACATATCTCACTCTAGAAGAAAATTTGGGAAAAATGAAAGATGAATTATAGAGGAAAGATGAATTCATCAAAGTCTTAAAAGAAGATCTAGCGAAGGTAAAACATGAATTAGACAGAACTTGCAAGTGGAACAAAGCCTCTGATGCTCTCTCCTGGTTGCAAGAGCATCACAGCAGTAACAAAAGAGGCCTTGGCTATGGGACCCAAGCTCCTAAATGGGATCCAAAAAGCAAGTACCTCACTCTTCCTGAAAATAAAATCTGCACACACTGTGGTAAGACTGGACATTACAAATATGAATGTAATGCAAAAGAAAAGGCCAGTCAAAGAAACAAAGCTTTTGTTCAAGAAAAGCATAAGCTGCCTAGTTGGGCAAGAAAGAATCTGATTCATCCTTTTGCCCATAGAAAGGGACCCAAACTAGTTTGGGTTCCTAAGACTAACCCCTGATTTCCTTTTGCAGGTCCAAGTTAAAGGGAGGAGCCAAATATGGTATATGGATAGTGACTGCTCAAAACATATGACTGGGACAAGGACCAGTTCCTTTCACTTGAGGACCTAAAAGGAGGTAATGTCTCATTTGGTAATGGAAAGAAAGGTGAGATCATTGGGGTTGGAAAGGTAGGCAAAACAGATTCTCATTCTATAGAGAATGTCTACCTGATAGATGGCTTGAAATATAGCTTAATAAGTGTGTCACATTGTGTGACAGAGGTAACCTTGTGGCTTTTACCTCCACCAAATGCTTTGTGATTAACCTTACCACTGACAAGATTGTTTTGCAGGGAAAAAGAGTCAACAATATTTACATTGTAGATTTGTCAACTCTTTCAGAAAATGAATTCACTTGCTTAAGTGTGTTGGTTAATGATCCCCTCCTATGGCACAAAAGACTTGGTCATGCCAGTCTAAATCAGCTAAACAAATTAGTCTCCAAGGACTTGGTTATAGGGTTACCTAATATCAAGTTCAAGGAAGACAAAGTTTGTGAGGCATGTGCAAGGGGGAAGCAGGTAAGGTCATCCTTCAAATCCAAGAAAATGGTAAGTACGTCCAAGACGTTGGAATTGGTCCATATGGATCTATGTGGTCCAATGAGAACCATGAGCAGAGGTGGAAAGAAGTATGTAATGGTGCTAGTTGATGACTATTCTAGATTCACCTGGGTTTTATTTCTAACTTCCAAAGATGAAGCATTTGACATGTTTTCTGCATTTGATAGGAAGACTCAGAAACAATTAGGAAATCATCTTGCATCCATTAGGTCTGATCATGGAACTGAGTTTGAAAACTCTAAGTTTGCTGAATTTTGTGATGAAAATGGCATAGATCACAATTTCTCTGCCCCTAGGACTCCACAACAAATGGAGTAGTTGAAAGGAAAAATAGAACTCTTGAGGATATGTCTAGAACAATGTTACTATCTAGCAAATTGCCTCACAGCTTCTGGGCAGAGGCTGTAAACACTGCATGTTACATCATAAATAGATGCATGACCAGACCTCTAGTAGAGAAGACTCCCTATGAGTTACTTAAAGGGAGAAAACCAAATATATCCCATCTTAGGGCTTTTGGTTGCAAGTGTTTTGTGCACAATAATGGAAAAGACTCCCTAGGAAAGTTTGATCCCAGAAGTGATAAGGGAGTATTCGTGGGATATTCTTCACATAGCAAAGCTTATAAAGTTTTTAATAAAAGAACTCTGTGTGTAGAAGAAAGTGTGCATGTAGTATTTGATGAAACTAACATTATTTCTGAGAGGCAGGAACATGAAGATGAAGCCATTGGACTGGTCAAAGACTTGGCTGAAGCATCTGCTCAAGTCAAAGTGACACCTGCAGAAGGAACAGGTAATGGACCAGGTTCTTCCCTACAGGGCAACCTGACAGGGGGATGAAATCAAAGAGGAATTGAAACAAACTCCTTAAAGGAACCTGTTCATGAACCTGTTCCTCATCAAATTGCTGAAACATCCAGCAGAAGCCAGTTGGTTGTAAAACCTCACAAGTATCAAAGTTCTCATCCCATTGAGAATACTATCACTGATCCAACTTCTGGAGTCAAAACCAGATCACAATTAAAGAATCTGTGTGCTTTTGATGCTTTCTTATCTATCATTGAACCTAAAAATATTGTTGAGGCTTTGCAGGATGCAGATTGGGTGAATGCAATGCAGGATGAGCTAAACCAGTTTGAGAGAAGTCAAGTTTGGCACCTAGTTCCAAGACCCAAGGATAGATCAGTCATTGGCACCAAATGGATCTTTAGGAACAAACTTGATGAAGATGAAACTGTCACAAGGAACAAGGCAAGGTTGGCAGTCCAAGGTTACAGCCAAGAGGAAGGAATAGACTATGATAAGACATTTGCTCCAGTTGCAAGACTAGAGGCAATCAGACATCTCATAGCCTTTGCAGCACATATGGAATTCACTCTTCATCAAATGGATGTCAAAAGTGCCTTCCTTAATGGCTATTTGAAGGAAGAAGTGTTTGTGAAACAACCTCCATGGTTTGAAAGCAAAGAATGTCCTGAACATGTGTACAAGTTGGACAAGCTCTCTATGGACTCAAACAGGCACCAAGAGCATGGTATGAAAGACTGTCAAAATTCCTACTGGAACAAGGGTATAAGAGAGGTAAAATAGATAGTACCTTATTCTTAAGGGAAAAAAGGTAAGGACCTTCTTGTTGAACAAATTTATGTTGATGACATAATCTTTGGGGCCACCACTGAC